AAAAAAGAAAATTTACTTGTCTGCACTTGTAAAGGCATATTGGGGCAAAAATGCATCCTTCTCATAAGCCCTAAATAACAAATCTACAAGGAGGATAATCTCTTCAGATACTCTGAAAGATAAGCAGAAAGCTGGGGATTGTCTACACAGCCAAGAAGAAAGCCAAGAGTTGGAATCATGTCATCTGAATGTTCCAGGTGGATTTGTTGTAGGTTCCCACCCAGGCAGTGATCTGTGACAATGAGGCAGGATGTTCAGCTGGGATGTCCAAAATGTGAAAGTTCTTGTTCAAGGGAGGGAGCTTCATGAAGGAATTAGGAAGAAGTACAGAATAAAACTGTTCCTGGGATTAGGTAAGCATTTGGCAATAATCACAGTAATAAAACACATTTAGGCCACAGTCGTGGTCAAAGTCTGGCTGGGATGTCCCAGGATGTGTTTTTATTGAATGCCTGCACTGACAGACACAATTTGAATTATTGTAAAAAATCTGCTGTGCCTGAGGGTCAGACACTTGTTATTCCATGGACACCCTCTGCTTTTGGGATGGGGACATAGCAGAAGCCCAGCTCTGTGTGGAACAAGGCAGTGAGCCAGGCCAAAGGAAAGCTCCATAGTTCCATTTCCAAACAATCTCAAGTTTCAAGGCAGGTCAGAAAGAGTGGGGTTAACACCTGTCCCACCTGAGGGCTGAGCTTTTTGAGCCACACATAGATTCTGACCTCAGAGAAGTGAATCTGAAGTTCAAGTACACCACACATTTGGGGTTGTCTATTCTGTTCAAGGATGGACTAAGCTGTATTTTCCTTTACCAGAGGACAGCTCCACTCCCTGGGATTTTGCACAATGTTGCATCAGGCTCCTCAAGACAGAATGGGATGATTTTCTGCCTTGCACAGGCTGTGTGGAACATCCAGCCTCAGACATAGGGATACACCTGGGTGTCCCTGCATGCAGGTGTGCTCATGGACTTGTGCCCACAGTGGTGTCAGCACAGCCTTGGCACCACAGTGCTCCACAACCTCCACACAGCCCAGAGCTCCACACAGCTGCCTTTGGCCTTGCTCTAAACACAGGTTTAATCCTTCATGTGGCCTAAAAATTTCCTCCACCTTTGTTTAGGAGTGAATCACTGATGATTTCCCTGAACTGACCCCTAATGTTGGCTGTCATTGCTTGGGTGGGGCCCCATCACAACACAGAGCTGGGAACTAGAATTCCTAGCACAAGCTTCCTTCCCACTTTTTACCAAACATTTTTCTCCTCTGAAAAGGAGGCAGCAGAGGCAGGACGCAATGTGAACCTGTTGCTGCTCTCTTTTCACAAGCAGCAGGACTCTCATTCCTCTCCCTCAATTCTGCAGGGCACTGAGCACTCCCTGCTCTCTCCAGCATCCCCACCTTCATGTAAGGGCTAAAGAACAAGGACTGACACCGGTGAACTCACACTGTGATCAGAACTGGTTCTGTGAGCAGGCTGGGCTCAGCAAAGCTCAGGCTAAGATGCTGCTTTGCCCTTCTGCCTAGAAACCTGCAGGACTGCAGCAGGGCAAACCACAGAGCAACTTCCCCATCCACGCTCCAGATTTATATGGCTGGCTTTCCTCTTCTTAAATCTCCCCCAGCAAAGCTTTGTTCCAAGATGATTCACAGATGTTGTCATTAAAAAGTTGGGACTTGCCAACAAATAACACATGGGCCTGCTTGAGAAACTGCTGTTCCCACAGCTTTCCCCAGGAAGAGATGCTCAGGGTAATTGGTAAGGCCTGTGAGAACAGCACAGCATAAAGCATCTTCCACCATCCATAATATTTGAAGAGAATCCTGGTTTCCTGAGAATTTATCTTGTTCATTTAAAAATCACATGGATAAACACACATGATAGAGAATAGATAATTAAGCCCATTATCATGAAAGAAGTGTTGATCTTTTCAGGTAATAGTGAATGGGTCAAGCACGGCTTATTTGCAACACACACAAACAAAATCCCAGCACTAGCTAACAGACAGCCATGTAGCTTAATTATAGACATAAAATAAATTGATTCATTGATATGCAGGCATATCAAAGGCCAGAGGTGACAAACTGTCACATCCTGCAATGGACAGTAGAGTCACAATGGACAGGACTGTACTGTCCATTGCAGGATGAGCCAAACTACAGAGAGGGCAAACCCCAACCAAAAGGGAATAAAAACCAACAGAGGGAAAAGGGTGTTACAGTGACCTGGCTGGAATCTTGTGCTCACCCAGGACAGGCTGAAATCCAAAACCCAGGACCAGCCCTCACCCACTCAGGACAGGCTGAAATCCAAAACCCAGGAGCACAGCCCTCTGTTAGCAGTTTGGAAAGTCAGCAGGGAATCCTATCTGGGGAGATCTTTACCAATAGCTATGAACAGAAATGTTTCATGATGGTCACCCATATATTGATTAAATTCTTGGTCATTTAGCAGTAAGGAAAAGGCTTTTTTTTTTTTTTTCAGGGAGGTGGAAAGAAATGAGCATTCAGTAGGTTTTCAAACACTAAAAGCAATCTCAGTCTTTTGCAATGCTCTTAACACACAGAGCAGTAAATACAATTTTCATACAGTTTTGAATAAATGACAGATGTAGTACATATTTACTACATTCTCAATTCTGCAATTTAGAGGCTGACATTAAAATATTTTCTTCTGTTTTTCATGGGCTTGTTGTTACAAGCATGGCTGCTTTGCCACAAAATTTGTGTTTGGAGAGGCTTTTATTCCTTTTTCATTCCTTTAGTCCTGCTGTGTGACTGTGTGCTCCACCATGCCCCAAAGAGCTTGGTGGCATCTCACAGCTCTCCTTGTGTCTCAGCCACACCTGTGAGGACATTCCCACTGGCTTCACCACCCTTCAAACCAGGGCTCCAGTTGGGATTTGGCTTTAGAGCCAGTTCACCACTCAGTTTCCAGGCAAGCAGGGAACAGGCAATGCTGCCATATTCCACTTCCACAAAACAATGAGTAGATGGACTGGAGGAGTTTAAAGCGTAGGAAATACAAGTTCACCGGCTGTACAACTGCCAACATCATCTCACAGACATGCAGCAAGGGGAAATTCAACTAATCTGATGTTTGTTTTTCTTTAACATTCTATTAAAGCAAAGCAGCTCCATAATGAGATTACTGCATTTTATCTCTTAATTGTATCCAGATATGGAAAAGAGATTTACTGCTAGTGGCTTGTATACAGTACAATATTTTAAAGCTAATTATGATAGAGCATTACTATTGTCACACAATGAAATACTTATTCTTCTGTTATGAATCAATACCATTTTCTAAAATTTATTCTAACTACCTTTTTAATTGGATATACACCCTGCTAAATTCTGAAACAGACAGTTATATAAACATAATTCTTTTAAATCCAGGATGATATCAGCATAAAATATTTTACTTAAATAGATTGCAAAAAAGGAGAAAAAGTAACATCAAGTAGCTTTCCATTATTAAAGCCAGCTGAAAGTCAAGTCTTGAGAGCATTCAAGTTCTTATTTTTCAACTCTGCCATTGTCCATGGAAGCATGGATACACATCCTCCCCAAAGGGTGAATTAATAGTTTGGTTGTTCATTGAAGACTACCAAGCACCTGGCTTTTGTTTCTATTTCTCCACACAGAGAGGAAATCATATTACAGTATTTATCTTCCTAAATCCCCAGGGCCTAAAACCTCTAAAAATCTTTTCTTTGCTTATGGATGAAATAGAGTAAACAATTAAAAAGTTAGGCAAAGAGTTTTAAAAAAACATTGTATCCAAGTTCCTTTGTTCAAAAATACTGGTGAGTAGATGGTGAAAACCTCTGCTTGATCTGTCAGTTGTAATTAGTTAATGATTTTTAAAAACAGTGTCCCTGTGTGATGATACCCTGATCACACTGGCCATCAGTGCAAACTAAAATTCAAGTATTTATAAGCTGGTACTGCAATTAACACTTTGCACACATTCCAAAGTACACCTTTAAGCTTGGTTTTCCTGAACAAATATTCACATCAGGGACAGCTCAAGTTTTGACCACAAGCTGATCACAGCATATCTGCAAATCTTACCTGAGTATGAGACACCTCCTCCCCCTCTCCACTCAGGGCAAAGGGACAAGGAAAAAGCATTTGTTTTTCTCAGCAGAATCAGGCAGCAGTTTAAACCTACCTGAGCTCCAGCCATCTCAATGGGCATTGTTTTCAGCACTCTCATACCTGTATTCCATGTATTTACACATCCAACCCACATTATATTTACACTATGGTAAATTAAACCAGTCATATTTTGGTGAGATAAAATGAATCAGAACTTAGAGATGAGGTAAATCAATAATATCAAGTATTTAGAAACATTTACTTTTTATTAAGTTACTGAAAGAATTTAACTACATATCATATTGCCAGTATGTTGGTGGAAGTTTTAGATATTGAAGCTGATTCTACACTTGATGACATATTATCCAAGTAATTTAATGAATAAATATTGCAGAATGCAATATCTGAGACTGTCAAGAAATTTCATTTTACCAGCAGCTCACCACTAAGGAAAAACCCCACAGTATTCCTTATGGTTTTTCTTCAAGAATATATACATTGAACCAACTCTGGGTCATCCTTCAGGATGATTTTGCAATAAATAAATGTTTATATGTTAACACTTAGCATACTCTAGAAGGTCATCAATTGTCTATTTATCTGAAGGGCCCACATTATGCAGGAAGGCTCTTCAGCATTCCTGTGATTCAGATTTCACTGCAGACATTATTCACTCCACATTTAAGTCTTTTATCTGCATGCCAAGTGTTAAATTATATTGGGTTACTGTCTGTATCATTCTATTTTTACTGCAGCCCTTCACAGATTAAGATTCCAATCCTTTGAATTTAGTAGGATTTTGACAGCAATTCAAGCACTGTAAGTCTCAGCTCTGTCCACCTAATTGTGGCACAGGGATTTCCAAGCTGCCCAAGTGCCTAGAGAAGCTGTGTTTACCTGCTGTGTGCATCCTGTCCCCGGATCCTTGGCAGCCATCCTCATCATCACAGTCTCCACTCGACTCCATCTCCTCACTCCTTCCAGCCCCACTGCCAGCATCCCGGGGTCCCCATCTCTCCAGCTTCAGCTTGGCCTTCTCAGCATCCAGCTGAAATGGAAGAAGTGACAAACCAGCCATGGTCAGAGCATTCACACAGCTCCTACCCCTGGCACCCATCTGGTTTATTCAGCAACAAACACTTTCTCAGGCACTTTCAAGAGAGCTCCTCAAGCTGGAGGCTGTTTCTGGCAATTCAAATATTCTGGAATAACACACTATGCAACCAAATGTTCTGCACCATAGATGACCAGGGGCACTTATCAACCTTTTAATTGAAAATATCACATCTACCAATACCACCACAGGGAGTGCTGCTCCTGCAGCTGGGGAGTCTTTGCTTCTTTTCTGCCAGGATCAGGATTAAATGTGTGAGATGGAATTTTGTGTTGGGATTCAGATGTTTATTAGTTCTTATCTATTTTACAGTCTCACAAACTCTGAGTTCTACAGCACTTCCCTCTAACAAACTAAAATGGAGTCCTAGCTCTCTTTCTCTACAAGGCCTTTTAAGGATAAAGTGTCTAATTAAGAAATGACACCTAAATTATTTTTACTTTTAACCCAATAACCAACTACCTGTGCCCACAATGGGGATTTTTTATCCAATTACACAAAACCAACCAAACCCATGGAGAAGATGAAGAAGAAGGAGCAGCATATGCCCTAAAACATCTATCTTGCTTTATATATATATATATATTGCTATATTCTAAACCCTTAAACTCTAATTATTAATTAATTATTAATTATGATTTTCAGAGACAAATTAAAAAAAAATATTACACATTTCTATTCAAACTCCACAGCCACAGTCCCAGTTCTGTCATTCCAGTTTGGAAGCTTCTCCCCAGGCTCAGGTCAATGCAGTGTTCTCCTGGGGGTCAGTGCCTGGCAGCACAGAAAGTTTGAAATTCTCAGTAACCAGGGTTCCAACACACAGCTTTTCCTTTGCCATGCTCAGTTTGGGGAACACTCGTTAATGATGGTACAACCTGCCAGCTGTCCAAGTATTTGTTTTGAGGGATTTACAGTTGAAGACCATGACAAACTTCACAGCTGAGGGCATTTGCTACTTTTCATGATGGGCTTGGTCACTTGGAAACCTTGGCCCTGGATATGATTTTTAAGATGTCTGTTCCAACTGCAAGTTGTTCATTAGAGTGTTTCCAGGACTGAGCACAGAATAAGAAAACCTTTTCTAAAATAAATTTCAATCTATCACACCAGGTCATGGTTGCTCTAACAGCATATTTACCCCCCAACACTCAGCTTTTTGATGTTTAGATAACTCTTTCTCCTGCTGTCACCACAAACAGCTGCCTACTAGTAGCACTGTGGAAATAAATGATTTTTCAGCTCTCTGGTAGTTCCAAAAGATGAAAAATCCCATTTCCTTGGGAGTGAATCTAAACCCAGCCTGTGCATGTCACACCAAAAGCAGCACTACCTGGGGGAAAGAAAAAATCCAAACCCAAATGGCTTAGACTAACAAATTGGGTTATAAGGCAAATATTCATCAAGCAAGAATGGTCCAGGAGAAGCCTGAACCTTTCCCCCACACCTGAGGAGCACTGACCAGATGGAAAAACTGCTCTCAAAGCCTCTGCAGTGCTGCCAGACTGGATCTATCCAATACCCTTCAGCACAAGAATCTTCCTCCCAAAGCCCTCCAGATCCATTTCAGGCTTTGTGATCTGCTTCATCCCAGAGGACTGATTATTCTTGGTACTGAGCAAAATGTACTTTGAAATGTAACACTTTGGAGATTCAAACACTACAAAGGAGCAGTTCTGGGAGCTGGGGGTGAACTGGAGCACAGGGCTAATACAACGGTATTAACTGTGCTGAAAGGATGGTGATGGATGCAGCAGTTTCTCTGCAGTGGGAAGTTTTGTGTCACAGTCTCCTTCTTCTTCAGGTGCTGCCAAATGCTTGGAGCAGAGATCTGGTTCTGTGGAACAACAGATGCCAACTTCTACAAGGCAGAAGTCAGGAAATTCTGCACCCTCTCCCTGCAGAGCTCAGTTTGCTCCTTCTGAAGACACAAATAACTGCACAGGGCACTGGGAAGATCAGCAAGTGGGAGGAGAGGGCATGGACTCGATGGGGAAGCACGTTGAGCACTCTCTAATTGTTACTGCATGTCTGGTTTTTATAAACAAGTTGCTTAATGTTGAGCCCTGGTATTCACAGCCATGAAAACCCATGTGACAGCAATACAAAACAACATTTTTGTTAAACAATTGGAAACTTTTGCCTATGAGGGAGAAAGATAGCTCAGTTCTTTCACAAATTTATTGTGTCCTGGTCATATTAGAAAAGCCTCATCCATTCTTAGTTATAATTCTTCAGAATGAAAAGAAATGTCTAAGTGGCAAACAGAATAGACACAGAATTTAATAAAGGCTTTTAATGACTGTTTGCAAGTCAGAGCAGAAATGTTTACTGCCTGTTAAGGCACTCCCCCTCTGCAAAGATCTGATTTCATTCATTGCCCATGGCTCAGATCCTGACCTCTGCTCAAAACAAGCAATACTTGAACCAAATGGGTCCCAGCTCCAAGGAGGAAGCTGAGCTTTCCAGCATGGTGCACTGCAGCATTTCTGGGTTCTGGTGCCTTCACTGCAGCAAGAGAGGAGCTGGAGCTCAGATCTGCATCTCCTCTGTACCTCTGAAGGTGCATCCTGCCCTTCCTTGGCTTCTCAGCAGAGAGGGGCCACCAAATGACCCAGAGCCCTGGTATCCAGGTTCACCATGACCACATCAGCTCAGGTGTGACCCACCTTTTCACCTTGGATACCTTTTCCCAGCCTCTTCACAACAGGGCTTTTATGTCCTGTGGCTACCACTCACCTAGAATGATGGACCAGAGCCTGACTCTGAGCATCCCTAAAGCTTTATCTATAAATAAACTCATTCCAGGAGATGGGACAGTGTAGCCCCTTCAGGGAGGAGCTCCAGACACACCAAGCATCCCTGTTGAGAAGGCAATGTCACCATTTCTCAGTGACTGCTGTGACCCAGCATCCTTCTCTTTTCCACATTCGGAAGGCACATTCAGTAGCAAAGCTGTCCTTTGGCTACTGCCACAGGACTCCAGTGAGATCAGTGTTTCAATAGCAAAGCTTATGGCAGCATGTCCCAGTCTCTTTTTTTCACAGAATAACAGAAACCTGTCTCAAAGGCCCGAGACTGCACCCTGGAGGTGTTTAACAAAGCCTGGACAAGGCACTCAGTGCCATGGTTTGGTTGGTGAGGAGGTGTTAGGGCACAGGTTGGACTAGATGACCTTAAAGGTCTTTTCCAACCTAGATCATTCTGTGATTCTGTGAAAATAGCACTGACTGCATCAGGATGAACTGGGAGCTTTAGAAGACCAGAATGGAAGACATTAATAATAATTTTTGACTCTCTGGTCCCAGGGGTTGGGTGTGGGCAGGGAATATCTGCTGTGCTTGGTGGCTGTGGGACTGCAAGGTCCCCAGCAGAGGAGCTGGAGCTCAGCTGAAGGTTCAGGTCATCTTCAGAGACAGCCTGGCAGACACAGCTCTGTTAGAAACCTTGAACGACTCTCCAGGCACTGCCACCAAGCACAAATCCTCCTGCTTCCCCAGATGGCTGTGGGGAGAAGCAGAGTGCCTTGCCCTATTTAACACTGGGGAGCAGAGATGGGAGTCAGATGTGGCATTTCTAGCACTGCTTAAGAGCCGCTCTTAAAAACCACCTTATTTTGGTGGCTCTTTCCCTGCCAGCTGACAAATGATGCTATCCAGCCAGTCTGGCAACTCTGCACAACAGCTCCTGCCTGGCAGTGCCCTGTCCTGGTGCTCAGAATTGATGCTTTCGTTAAATAATTCTGGGCCCTGGAGCCTGTGCCTTTACCTTCACAAAGCACAAGATTCCAGGGAATACTGGAATCTGAACAGCTTAAAAATTAAGTCTTCAGGTTTTTGTGAAAGATTTTTTTTTTCCCCTCTTGAAAAGGTTATATAAATAGATCAATAAGAGTTGTACAGTCCAACTGGAAACTGACTCAAATCAGGAATTTTCCCAACTGCAATAAGCTTTGGATCAGGTTCATAAACCTCTGAAGGGTTTCTGAGAAGCTCTATACTGCTTCTGTGGGGAGCTTTTAGTGTCTGTATCTGACTCAGCTGAAAGGCAAAAATCACATATTACTATTCAGCTCTGAGTCAGACACAGATGACTCTGCTGCATGGATTTTATTTATTCCAGCAAAGGTCCCAACCTTAAGTGACTTTAAAACAACCCCAAGTTCTGCTGACATAAGGTTTTCTGGAGAAGAAAGAAATCATATGAGAGTGGCTCCTGTCTTTCTCCCCTGTTAATACTTCATGATGTAGCCCACACTTTCCCAGTCACATAAAAGAGTGCTTCAGACTTCAGAGGCTTCAAAGAGACCCTGACACAGAATCCCTGAGCTCTCCACAATGACTCTAACCCTAATTCTCCCTCTGAACACAGGTGTGGCAGAATACAAATTCATTATTGTGGTTTTTCATGAAGCCACGTTCCACTTGAATACTTCCACACCTTAATGAAATAATAACTGCTTCCCTCCATGGAAACTATTGTAGAAAAAAGTGCCAATTTCTATCTGTTTCATTGATCAGTCTATTTGCATCATATATGCATGTGTATGATTTCAAGCTGTAGGATAATAACCCCATTTTATCAGAAAATAGGTTTTAAAAATTATATTTTACACCACAGTTTCAGACTTCCCAAGTCAATGAACACAATGAAAATATATAATTATATCTATAAAATTATATAATAATTTTATGTATAATTTATATATAAATTATATATATTAATTTATCTATAAATTATAAATATATAAAAATATATATATTTATCTATGTAGATATATTTTAAATATAATTTTATATAATATATATAGATTATATATATTAATTTATCTATAAATGATATAATATATAATAATATATTATTATATATAGTAATTATATAATATATGTATAATAATTATATATATATAATTATATAATAATGAAAATATTCTC